TGTGGCATCTATTTTGCGGAGAGAGAGGGGTGCAAGTTCTCTCTCAGGCAGCTCCTGCCAAGAGACAGAGAGAGCGAAGCTGAGCGGGAAGGCCCAGCAGCTCCCCCGAAGGAGAGGCCCTTCTGGAAGCAGAGGAATGGGGGAGAGGCGCCCCCCCACCCCAATAATTTGACAGGGAGACCTTCAGGAAGGGAATTCCATGCCTGCTCCAGCTCACTCAAGAAGGGAAAGAACACCGGGTCAGAGGCGATCCCAGGGGGCCCAGGCACCCTCTGCCAGCCTGTCAGAGTAGGAGGAAAGTGCCCCGATGACTCAAGGGGTCCACCAGGACACCCCTCTGCCTCCCGAACATTCCCCTTTTTTCTCCTTCCTTCAGATGAAGGTGCAGCTGTCTTCACCTGCTGTCCAAAAGAAGGAGTCCCCCCCAGATATCTGTTCAGCGGCTCCCAGTGACACCATGGGAACCGCCCCTTTGCTGGGAGAATCCAGCTGTCTCATAAAGGCTCGGGGCCATTTGTTCCACAAATACTGAGTGAGTCCATCCAGGGCACCTGCATCCGGAAGAGCCAGCAGGGCGGGGGCCATGTCAGGGCCACCCAGCACCATGCCAGGTGGACGTGTAGTGGGCTCTCAGGGAGCAGGAGCCATGCCAGGTGAACTAAACCCTGAGCCACGAGTCTCACATCAGAAGGACAGAGTGTGAGCGTCACCGCAGGTGTGGGACCTTGGGGACAAAGGGAGCTGAGGCCGCTGCCAGGAGGCCATAGGAAGAGTGTAAGTTCATGTAGCTGCCACCGGCCGCTGCTCACCCACCCTCTTGCCTTCTAGGAAAACTGTCCCTGGAAGAGTTCATCCGAGGGGCCAAGAGCGACCCGTCCATAGTGCGCCTCCTGCAGTGTGACCCCAGCAGCGCCGGCCAGTTCTGAGCCTGTACCCCACGAATCATAGAGCTGCTTGTGTCCCCCTTTGGTTTCTCTTTTTAACATTTTCTTTTTTGCCAAACGATATTGACGGCGACGCTGTTCCCTGTGCGGTCAGACGCGCCTTCCTCCGTGACGCCTTCAGCTTCTCTTGTCGTGGACGCTTCGTGGGAATGCCCAGAGCATGGACAGTGCTGTCGTGCACAGATGTTGTGGTGTTCGTTGTTCTGATGATTTTTGATCATTATTATTATGATTTTCTCTTGATTCTAATGTCTCTGTTTCAAAACCGAAGACTCGGGGAGGCAGGAACGTGAAAACCAATCCAGTGCAGTGATTCTATTGCGAGCTTCAAGGGGCTTGCTTGAAAAATGAAACTCCCCTGGGTCTGCTGTCATACGTGCCCTAGGAATGGCGTCACCGAATTCGGGATCCCCAAAGACAAGGAACCCTCTGGGGCTAGGCTATTAAAAGGATGTGGGGGATTCCGCTCGCAGGCCCTCTCCACTCTCTTCCCCAGCAGGCTGTAGTTTCTAAGCTGTGAACATTTCAAGGCAAATTAATAGTGGAGACGGAAAAGATGGTTCAGTTATTTTTTCAGAGGTTTACACTAGTCGAGCTAAGATGAGTTTCTTTGGAAATTAAACACAAATGGTAACATATTTCAAGACCAGACCCATCTTGTTGCCTCTTGTGATTTAAAAGAAAAAAAAAAAAAAAAAAGAATGCTGTATATAAAATATTGGGTATTGCAGACCAAATTAAGTGTTTTGCCTTGTTTAAATGAAATGCATGTTTAGTGAGCACTAATCCAATCTTATTACAGAAGACTGTATCTAGTAGCTTATTGTGAAGTAAGCCAACTATAATGAATGTTTATGTCTTGTTTTAAAGTCATATCTGTCTTTGCACAAATGCACCAATCAACAGGTATATTTTATATATTCCAGAAAAGTACAAAATAACCATGACTAGGGCCCAAACTTAATTTTGAATGTTTTTCCAGAGTAGCTGTGCCTGGAGAATAGAATCAGGGCAGGTTTATGTGGAACACATCACCTGGAGCACCAGAAAGTGGATATTTATGAGAGATGTGAAGTGATGATTTGCCCACACAGCCCAGCAGCTCATTGGCAGTATTACACTGGAGGTGTGGTGCTGTTCTGAGCAGATCAATATTCTGTAGCCACCCTTTCCCACCACCAAAAAAAAAAAAAAGAAAGAAAAGCTGAAATTCTCAGGACTTCCCAGTGGTTTAACCCACATGAATTGTTAGGGAGTCATATTTGCACTATTGACTTTCCATGCCCCCAGTGGCCCTGCAGAGTCAGAGGTTGAGCAATCATCTGATTCGTCATGAAGTAGGCTTGGGCAAGTGCATCTGTGATTTCCGAGGCCCTCTCTGGGGTATCTGGAAGTGTTTTCCCTCACGGTGTTCTTTGAATGTCAATTTCTATTTCCAGAAGGGATGACCCAAATCTGAGTTGCCATTCAGTCTGGTGACCTCATACACACTAATTTGAATTAAAAGTTTATAAGGAAGTTCATATTTTCATAAGCAGTAAGGCATGAGGAACCCCCAACACTCAAGGATGTAGATGGGAAGAGCTTGCCCCAAGAGAGGACAGAGAGGTCCCCACTGGTTCTGTTGCTTCCACACTGCTTCCTGCAAACCGAGAACCACAGAGAGATGGACAATATAACCACGAGGAAGATGATGTTGAGCTCATTCTAATCTCTAGATTCCTGGGTCTTCCCTAAGTTCATTTTAACAAGTAGCAAAAACCCAAATTTGTATTGTTGACCAAAATGGACCAACTTTGCAGGGTGAAATTTCGAGACCTGAACATGGTAAAATAATCTTAATCTTCCTCCAAGTGTGTTTCTCATAGTAGTTTTATATTGAGACTTGTCAAGTTCCTCCATGGGCCAAGTGGTAAACTCTGGTTTTCAAAAAATAAGGAATTACCCTAAGACATGGAGTGCAGAATAGGTGAAGAGACGCAGTGCCTCCATGGACAGTGTTCAGATGTATCCCACTTTTTCCTGCTCTTGACTGAAGACCTAATTCCTCCTTTTAGTTCTCCTTAGATAGGGGTGTCACTTAATGTTTGGGAAACCCACCTGGGCTCTGCCCGAGGCCATGACACCTTGGAGAGCCAGACTCACTCCTTTCCCCAGATCCTAGAGCTGGAGTGAGGCAAAGAGAAGAGGGTCTTCAGCTGTTTAGGAAAGAACACAGAGCCAGATGCATGGCCAACAAACACCGACGCACAGGTGTATGGAAGTCGCCCTGGTCCTGGCCTGCTGTTGACCCTGTCTGTGTTTTCTCCAGGGTTGTTTTGCTTTTTCTCCTCGTTCCCAGGAAGGTCTTTGTGTGTCTAATCCAATGCACTCAAGTTTGGCCAAGGGACTATGCAGCACCCAGAAGGCTGGATGCTTAAAGGTTAATGTCACTCCCGTGCTGGGCTGTTCATTGTCTTTGTTGTGTTGAGGGACCTCTGTAATGGAGTCTGTTCTGTCTGAAATCAAACCAGCCTGTGATGTTCAAGGGATTGGAATAAAGTGGCTTACAACTTGAAGGATGAGACAGAGTGGTTGACTGTTCTTACTCTTGTTTAGGGGACGGGGAAGGGATGCCGAGGGTGCTGTCCCATCCATCCATCTGCCCCAGGGGGCACTTGCCAAAATAGAATTTTACAATATCTATATTTATAAATCCAATCATATGGAGTGGCCCGTATATCAGTTGACATTGTGTCACTATAGCTTGGCAGTCAAGCATGTTGATTGTTTAGTACGATTGTCTGAGATGTGAGGTTTCTAGGCCTAACTGGCTGCTCCGGCTGACTCTGTGCCTGAGTGAGGGTCCAGGGGCCAATACTGGTCTCCTCCTGGGGAGATACGAGAGGCCGCTGAGTCCCAAGCTCCATCCAAAAGCATCCTGGGTCTGTACTTGGGCTCTTTACTTCTGTCCCCTCGTGGCTTACACTTTCTTCTCACCTCTTCTCCTTCCTCACCTGGAGCTGCGAACTAGTTTAAACATTAGGTGCAATGGAAGGAGAAACTGGGGCAACGACCTCTTCAGTGGGAAACGAATATCCTCTTCTCCCCTCTCTTTGCCTCTCAGTCTGGAGAAGAGTCTGTAGAAAAGATGACATGATGCCCTCAAAGCCAATTCAGATCAAGTGTTTGTTTGCTTTTTGTTGCTTTCATTGGTCCTGCCTCTAGCACAGAAGGTTATTAATGTAAGAAAAAGGGGCCGAGCGTCAGCTATAGTGGGCACCTCATGGGCCAACTAGACCTCACATAGGAGTAGAGTTGGCCTGGAGCAGAGGCTTTTTCTACTTCATACAGTTTCTCTATGGACCAGCAATGGCCCTGATATGCATGAGTATTAAGCATGAATAACACCATGTCATTCACGGCCGTGATGGCGAGAGGGTGGTTGGGAGCCTCCAACCTCATCAGGAGCCTGCAATCCCACTCTGTTGGAGGCCAACCTGGCAATTTGCAGTAAATTTACAAAACTCAAGGCTTCCACTTTCAGGGTACTTTCCCCAAACCCCAACCCAACTGGATCCCCTCACAGCTTAGTTCAGTTATGGAGGGTACATGCCGGTTGAGGAAGAGTCCAAGTGTTCTCTCAGTCAAGGCAGAGGAGATGAGAACTGTTTCTGGAAGAAGTGGAGATGCTTCATATGTGCCTCTCCTGTCTTTGTCAGATGTTCAGCGCTCTGCTGAAATTTTCTGTTTTCTGAGGCGGCTAAAGAAATAAGAGAAAGAACATCGAGCCCTGTATTTTCCAAGGCACTGGAGTATCAGTTGAATCAGCCTAAAACAGAAAGATTGTTGTCAAGTGAAAAGATGTTCAGGCCAAGGGTACAGCCGCTGGTATGTTCATTTCAAACGGGTTTCTCTGCACCTGAATGCTGAGCACGAGTCCAAGACCTAGAGAGGCCCTGGGCACTTGCCGCATTGGGTGTTCACGTGCCATGCCTGGTCTCAGATATCCTTGATGGTCACTCCAAGAACATTCCACAGTATTAACTCCCAAGCATAGCTCAGAATGGGGCCAGGGCCTCAGGGCGGCTTATTTCATGACTTTTTTTTCTCCACACTATTCCAGGAAATGGGTGGCATTTTAACAGTTCTGTAGAAAGATGGTGAAACTACTTCAAAATTCTGGGCAGCTCAGCTTGCCGACCCTTATTAAATACTCGTGGCTCTGCCACCAGTATGTCGTATACATATAGACAGACAAATGGACGGACTCTCTCCCTCACAATGTACCTTCCCAATATCAGTATTTAATCACTTTTCTGTGCTCGCATTGACTGTTCAATGCTGACCCAACACAGTACCAAGCACTACCGTCTTGGAGATGTGTGTGTGTGTGTGTGTGGGTGGGTGAGGCAGGGTGCGGTCAGGGAGTAGGAGTTACTAGCAAAGAAGTAGAGACTGAGCTCACAGCTGGCGAGCTCTGTCCAGACCCTTGAAAATGATTTCGAAGTAGCTTACACCTGTGTGGGGTGGAAAAGCAGAAATCAATATCTTTCTTGACTGGTGCTGAGAGGTGTTTGTTACCCAGGGAACAAGCAGGTGACATTGGCCTTTAGTGCCCTTTCAAAATCCCCTTCCTCTCTTGCTGCATCTGGCTGATCAGAGCCCCTGCCCCCACCGTGTTTTCTGGGATTCCTGAGTCTCAAAAATTACCCTGTGTACCCGTTTAAGCAGAGCTCAGACAAGTGTAGGGATGAAGGACCCTGGGGACAAAGGGTATACCGTACTAAGGCGGCGAATTAGAAAACCCACTCAGGGAATGTTTACATGTAAAACTCCAATGGATCTCTACTGGAGACCTCTTTAGAAGGGCTTGGCTTGGTGACTGCAGAGGGGCCAGTTCAGATCTTCTGCTGTGAGAACCTGCTGCTGGAAGCACATTGATTGACAGGCTCCACTTGCAACCTTTGGAGCCACCTCGGTGCTCTCTGAGGCCACGCTCTCTCCAGGCTGCTCCCAGTCGATGACTGTGCACGGCAGGGGTACTAGAATCGGGCCATTTTTGCCCCAAATGGGATTCGTCCCTCCGGTGACCTTTGCTCAGAGACTCTCCGCTGGCCTGGCTGAGGCAGTCGGAAGTGTCCTCTGCCCAAGCTTTCTTCCTTCCCTCTCTCCTTTCGCAGGGGCCAGTCTCCATGCTTGTTTCCCCTTTATTCTTCACATCGAGTCCCCCAATAAATCTCTTGAACATCTAATTCCATCTTGGCTTCTGCTTCTTGGAGGACCTGGACTGACATGGCAGCCATCCCTTCGCCATTTGTACCGATGCTTAGATACATGGGGTTCAGACACTCGAGGTGGCAGCCTTTCCAAAGTGAGGTTCACATTTGGAGACCTCTCATCACATTGTGAAAAGCCGAGGGTAAGAGGAGTTTAGGGGGTGACAGAGCCCTGACTCCCCCAGGGTTAACCCGTTATTGTGCTGATGATGCCAGGCTGTTACCACTTCCAACCCCACAGCCTCTGCGGCAGACTGCAGCTGCCCCTCATGTGCCTTTGACCACAGCACCTGGTCCATGATAACTGAACTGAACTGGTATAGAGTGGAAAGTAAAAGGTGTACCTGGGCCCCGTGGCCTTGACAATTGGTCATCCTTGCCTACCCAGCCAGAGTCCCGCACAGGGAGGTGGGAGAGGGGGTGGCACATGTGGTAAGCGAAGTTCACCAAACAGTACAACAATGACTTCCATGGGCCAAAGGAGGGTCAGAGGAGATGTGGGGACCAGCTGTGTCCTCAGCAGGACCTGCAGGGAATGGATTCAGACCCCCAACCGAGACTGTGGAACATGAATGTGGGAAAAGGCCTTGTGGCCCATCTCTAATCCCTTGATCTCTCCAGAAGCCCCCCTCGATAAGCACTTCTTCCTTGCCCACGGGTCCAGGCATAGAGGCTGCTGGGGATGCCGCTGGGGGTGAAGTCAGGGCAGGCGTTCTGAAAGCGAATTTTTAGCTGAGATTTGAAAGCTGTGGACATGGATAGACAGAAGGCGAGATGTGGAAGCACATAGAAATGCTCCCTGTTTGGGACAGAGAGGCTCTCCAGGGCTAACCTGGTGAAGGAGTGTGGCTCGTCGGCGGGTGTTTGCCGGGGAAACACCGGTAAGCACAGGGATTGCGGACCCCGGGATCCGCGTTGCACCTGACAGGACTAGCGAGCCCGTGGCTTCCAGGGCGGGAGACCGTTGTGCTGAAACCGGAGTTCCAGCCGTGCGGTTTCAGCCTCTGTGTGGGAGCTGGTGCAGAGGGACCCCAGACTGGGAAGCTCTGTGGTGAGTCTCGTGGGCTGAGTGAGCTGAGGAGGGGAAGGGAAAGGCTCGCGGACAGAACCTGCCCCTGCTCTGCGGAGCTGGTCAAGAAGAACCACCCTCGGCCTGTCGTGGTCACACTGAAGGCCTTTTAATTTCTTCAGCCCTCTCTTCACTTAACTTTGGGGTGGGACATGACAAGGCAACCAGATGGGGAAATGCTCGCTGTGTCGAAGCCCAGGGCCCGAGGTGTGGGAGGGGAGCCTGGAACCTTCTGAGTTCACACAGGTTTCTTCCCGACCAGGCAAAGAACCCGACATCCACCTCACGGAAATGACCAGGCACTGTCGTTTCCTCTTACTTTATGAATATTTATTTTTTTCTTCTTAAAAATGTACAAAAAATAAAATAACTGTATTTATAGTTTATAGATTCCCCCTCTCCCATTTACAAAACTATTAAGTTACATTTGCCTTTTTTTTGTTTTTAACGTGAGAGCGAATTGTCCAACTATCAATCTTCTTTGCTTATCTTTAAGAAAGGGCTGTTCATAGAATTTGGCACAGACCTCTGCTTCTGCTGCTTTTTTATGATTTTAAATAAGAAGGAAAATAAATGTTTGATTCACTTCATGCTTCCTAAGTTTCTGGCCTGGGATGTGCCTTAGTCTTTTAGGATCCAATTCCAAGGTGACATCTGATTGCATTTCCCAATTTTTGAACACCTGTAAAATCTAAGCCATTTGGGTATGCATTAAAAAACACTTGTTTCACATGTCCTTTATCTTACATGGCTTTTTTTTTTTTTTTTTTTTTTTTTTTTTTTTTTTTTTTTTTTTTTTTTTTTTTTTTTTTTTTTTTTTTTTTTTTTTTTTTTTTTTTTTTTTTTTTTTTTTTAGATCTTACCCATTTGAGTGTGATTCATTTAAGGGACAAGAGAAAAAAAAATAAGAGGAGGCAAATTTTCCTCTTTCTGGAGTGTTTTCACTCAGGAAATTGTCCCCATCAAACGTATGCTAACATACTTAGTGAAGGACACATCACAGCTAAGCCATGGGCACTCTGAGAATACAGAGGGGATGTGGTAAAGATGGGGGACAGGTCAGATGGGAGGTGACACTGCACTATCCTTTGGTGTTGCCGACCTCATATTCTTTGTTCTGGCCGTGGTCACCACAATGATTGCTCAAGGACCTGAGACAAATGCAAAAGCGTCTCTTATACATCCTCTGCCTCGGGCAGGACCAGCAAACATTTTTTCCACAGAGGCTAGAGAGAAAAGGGTAGGTAACCTGTGTCAGACTGCCAAAACGTTGATCTTCTCCCCATCCTGGAGTCCTAGGCCCCCGCCCCATAGTGTTTGCCAGTGTATCTGCCAGTCATGTTTGAGAACACCCCTAAGGCAAGCAGCACAGGAAGTGCACACAGTACAATTAGTGTTTCCAACACTGAGCCATCCATCTTAGCACAGAGTCCCAGTAGTACCCAGGAGGACCCCAGCTGCTGGTCCAGGGCATGGCAGTTCCAGAGTAGAGGAAGAGGGGACAGACTGAGCAGAGCTGACCGGGATGCAAACCTTTGGCACCACAGGGAGGGGTGTCCATAAGACACACAGAAAGGTACCCCCTGCCACCATCCAGAGGTTGTCCTAGGAGCAGCACCTGCCATCCATTCAAATTCTCTGCAGCCTCAAGGAGAAAGGGCTGGGCCGGAAGCAGCCCTTCCATCCTGCTCTGGGCCCCAGGGGCAGACGGGGTGGGAGGGCAGGCATCCCTTGGAGAGAGAGGCCCCAGGTAAGACTTCAAAGTGCTTTACAAACGAATCTGGGCCTTTATAGAGAGCCTGTCCTCGATCCCGACCTTAGATGGCTGATGTGTCTGGCTACCAAAAAGCTAGTGCTTCCACCCACAGGGGTGAATGCAAACCCCTAGACCACCTCCCTGTCCCCTCAAAGAGAACAGCGGTCCAGGATGGTTCATGATTTTGTGATTGTTTGGAGAAGCAACTTTTCTCCTCTTAAGTCTCCCAGACTGGTTTCAGAAGAGCCAGGGCTCTTGGGCCATTGTCCCACCCTCCCTCCACATCCAGCAGCCAGGAGCAGAGGCGGCTGGTCCCTACGTCTCTGGCAAGGCGCAGGAGGCAGCCCCGGCCGCCCATTCAGAGCTGAGCTGTTGGCACCGCTCACAAAACTGCAGTCGGGCATTTAAGGGGGCCACTTGAGATGAAGGACGTGCTTGTAAGCTGCGAGGCACTGCACAGTGGCCAGGATCCCCATGATAGCCGAGGAGTTCTGCGGTGGCCCCCAGTGACAGACCCTGGTGGCAAAGCCCCCGCAGTCCCTCCAGAAAGCTCAGGCAGGAGGAACTGGAAGAGCTGGGGGCTCAGACGATGTGACTTTTCCCACGTGACAGCACAGAGGGCTACTCACAGCAAAGCACACCACCCTGTGATAAAGGTGATGGCCTCCAGGGTGGTTCGTGCCCATGAAGAGGGAATGGGGCTCCCTCTGCAGACAAGGAGTCTGGGCATGCTACGGGAGCGGTCATCTCCGAACCCAACGCAGTCTCCTGACTCCCCGGAGGCCACTCCCCTAACCCAGAGAGTCTTCTGAATAGCACAGAGGCAGACACCTCTTGTAGAAAGTGGCGTCTCCGGTCGTGTGCCTCCCCCAGGCCAGCGGAGGTAAACATGCCCATGTACCACAGGTAAAATATATTATTACAATATTATAGACACTATGTACACGATAACCAGGAATATCTTCTGTGTCACTTACTAATTACATGGTAGTTGAATGTCCTCCTGTACAAGGCCTGGTGGCCACTCACTGGGGACCCCTGGAGGTGTCCAGCAAGGTGACCTGCCCCGGAGCTACCTGAAGGGTTGACAGGTAAGAGGGCATCCACCTCCTACCCCACCTCCGCCTGCTGCAGCAAGAAGCAACTCAGTTCGTCCATTCCAGAGACCTGGAGAGGCGAGACACACGGGACGAGACCTTCTCAGGCTACTCGAGATGAATGGATTGGCGCTGTTTCCCTCGAAGGGGTGGGCTCTGGACGGTGCCCTCTGGGGCCGGGGTGACCAGTGGAGTCCCGGCGGGCCTGGCCCTGAGCTCCGGAAAACGTTGGATAATAAATAAGGGTCTGACAAGCGCAAGGCTCCTTCCCGAGGGGCTCGGGCCTCAGCTCCAGAGCTGGACCCGGTGGACGGGCCAAACACACCGCCAAGGAATGGGGCTCTGTGCCTGGCCCGCTCTCCAGCGCAGTCGTGTAACAGCAGTTGTGGTGGGGCGAGGTGGGGCTGCAGTGCTGGGGTCCGGCCTCCGCCTCCCCCGCGGAGGAGTGCGCAAAGGGCTCCCGCCGAGGCGAGCCGAGGCCAGTGCTCAGATTTCCATGAGCGTGATCTTGAAGCCCTCCACCATGCTCTCCATGTTGAGGATGAAGGTGTCCTCATTCGAGTAGTGCTCGATGATGTTGTCATCCATGTTCACCAAGATGCTGCGGGAGAAGGGAGGACAAAGACGCCATGAACAGTGCGCTCAGCAGGCTCCGGGCTGGGGTTCCCTTTGCCGTTCTTTGGCAAGGTAGACTAGGAGGGGTGGAGGAGAGAGGAGACAAGGCAGCGGGGAAAGACTCTCACTATATTTTCTTTGTCTATAAAACAGTTTGAGGAGAGCAAAGCCTCAATTTCTCAGAACTAACTTCATGACTCCGTGTTAAACAGGACTTCAGAGTTCATTCGACCCAACCCTCTAGACTTACAGACTGGTAAACTGAGGCCCAAGAAGTTGACAGAGCCTGAACTCACAGACTTAGCTATTGACAGAGCCAGGACCTAAACAGTTAGGGCCCCTAGCTATTTTCATCAAACCATACTGCCCCTTGAAAATGCATCTTAAAAAGTATTCCGCACTCAAGAAGAAGAGGAAAGTAACCAGGAGCTGCAGCTATCCCTTCTGAGCACATGGTATATTCCAGGGGTTCAGAGACTCTGTATTTTATCTTCACAGCAACTCTGAAAGGAGGTTTGATCATTGCCATTTTGCAAATGAGAAAACTGGGCTCAGTGAGGTTCAATCATTTCCCAAGTTCATTCGGCAAGTTCACGGCTGAGCTAGGTTTTGAAACAAGCTTTGCCTCGGTCTGAAGCTCATACTTTACCACATGGGATGTACTTCTTGGCTAACTGTCCCCAGTGGATTTAGTTTTAAGAAAACCAACATCTTTCAGGATCTGTCCACGATTTAGCAGTCCTTGACCCAATCCTATTCATCAAAGTCAAACAGATCCTAGTTCAAGAATGAATAACTGACTATCATTTTGTGGCTATGTGTCATTAGGCAAGATGTTTAGACTTTTAGAGCTTCGGTTTATTCTTCTGCAAAACTAAGAATAACAACCCTGTTGTAAAGGCTTGTTGTTAGGATTAAAGTATTTAGGACAGGGCCTGACGCAGCGCTCAATGAAAATGAAATGGTATCATCAGCGGCGTGTACAATGTACATCGGCACTGAGTAGCAGCAAGACCTTGAGACACCACTCAAATCTCACCATCAAGGAACAAACCCAGTCTATTGCACTGACCTTAGAAAGAATTGTAATATGCACTTTAGTGAGCTTTCTGAAAATGGCTCAAGTAAAAAGGGTTTCTTGCATGACTCCCAATCAACCAAGAGACCCAGAGAAGAGTCTTAAGACCAATTTTCTGTTTTGTATTAAAATAGCTCTAGAAAAATAGTACCACAAACTGACTCAGTGGAGACCCTCTCCTGGCACTAGATCTAGCTTCTGCAGCTCCTGCCCTTGGGGCCTTATACACAGGAAGCCCCAGGACTGGAGATAGTAGAGAGCAGAATGAAGAGCTAAGCACCGGAGCTTTGGGGCCACAGACCTGGGTTCAAATCTGTCTTCTACCTACTGAACAGGAGTCCTTGGGCAAGATACTTAGCCTCCATTTGGCTCAGTTTCCTCATCACTAAATTAGGGATAAGAATCCACCTCATAGAGTGGTGAGGGATAATAGAGCAATGCATATAAAGCATGCAGCAGGGGACCCAGAATCTACTGAACACCCAATAAACAAGAGCTACTGTTCTTAACACTGAGAACAAGCAGGTCTAATGATTACTTAGATCATTTTATTAATAATTACCTTGGAAGAATGAATTCTTTTTGTTCCTTCTGTGCCACTCTGAAACCAACCCCGAGAGTAGCACCGGATTCCCTATAAACTACACTCTCTGCAGAAGGGTGACTTTGCCATGCTCCCCACTTCTAAGCCCCTTTACTCCACCCACTAATCCTGTCACTGGAATAGGGCATCTCAGTTGACATCATAACAATGCACTATCACCCTACTTCCCTCTCTCATTACAGGTCTTCAAAATGCATTGTACTGCAAGCTGCTCACTTGGAAGGATGGCACACAATTTTTATTAAAGGTGGACTAACAAAGAGAGCTATCTTTGTTTTTTTTTTAAGGCGCTATGTTGACTTATCTGATGTGAAAGTGAATTTAAATTCAGTTTCTTTCTTACCCTTTTTTGCTTTTCTTGTAAAGCTTTGCTATCTTCTCCACAGGCAGCCCATATTTCTCAGATATCTGTAACACCAACAACAAAAAGGCAGATGAGCATGGAAGGGGAGCCCAAGCAAAGGCAAGAGAAAAAGTTCCAACTTCAGTCTCTGGGAGATTTTCCTGGGTACCAGTGCCCTTCGCTCATGAGTCAAACTCTCAAAATGCTTCATCTGCAAGGCTCTCTTTCCCTCTGGATGAACCTCATATCATTCAACAATAGATACAGCCACATGGGAATTTATTCTGTGATGAAGGTGTCATTTCGGATCAGTCAGAAAAAGATGGACTCTAATCGTGATGTTGGATTAAATCGGTAGCCATACGGAAAAAACCGAACAAGTTAAAGTGGATCTCTTCTCCACTCCTTACATCAAAATAAAGCAGATCAAATATTTATATGTGAAAGATGAAACCATACAACAAGAAACCACGAGTGAATTCTTTGTATAGATATCATCTTCAAGTAAGGAAAAGCTTTCCAAGCAAGATAGGAAACCTGAAGAAAAAAAATTAAAAGGTTGATAAAAACAACATAGAATTAAAGATACCAGCATAGCAAAAACCACCATAAAAAGCTGAGAACAAATAATATACTGGGAAACATTTTTGCAACACAAATGACAGACAAAGAACTAACTTCCTTAAGTTAGAAAGAACTTAAATCAAAACGAACAAACAAACAAAAAAGCTAACAATTTAATGGGAAAAGGAAGAAAACAGCAAGAAGTAATTCACAGAAAGAATGCAATAGGACAATAAGCATATGAAAAAATGCATCATTTCGCACATAATGTAACATTCAACATGGCACAGGGAACATAGTCAGCTGTAACTAACGGCTGTGCATAGCCAGAGGGAAGAAAGAGTAACTGGGGGATCATTTCATAAACTATATAAATGTCTAACCAAGTTATTGTATACTTGAAACTAATAATAAAATAAACAATAAAGTTCAAATTAAAGCAATAGTAGGATACTACTTTTAATCTATCAGACTAATACAAACTAAAAAATTGATAATATGATATCAGCCAGAGTATAAGAAACAACAACTCTCATATTTCACAGATGGGAAAGCAATAAGTTCAACCTTTTTGGAGGGTAATTTGGCAGAAGCTACTGAAATTTAAAATGCATATATCCTTTGACCCACATATTCCACATCTAGTCATCTGGTCTACAGAAATATATTTAGAGGTACAAAAAGCTCTTCAAAGCATCACTGTTCATTATACAGAAGCTGCGTATAACAAACATCCATTAAGCACATCTTGATATTTTTACATGCAGTTATTCAGTCATTAAAAGAAATGTGGGACGTGTATATGAAAAAAAAAATGTCCTTAACACACTAAGGGAAAAAACAACAACAAGTTGCAAAACAGTATATATATATAGATCTCATTTGTATTTTTTTAAAAAAATATATGAAAGTAAATTGAAAATACTTCAAAGACTCACCAACCTATTAATAGTGGTTACCCTGGAAGAAGGAAAAGAATTAAGGAGATTCATTCACTTTTTACTTTCTTCAATTCTGTACTGTTTATTTTATATTCACAATGATTATTATTGGCTTTTATAAATATAAAGTAATAATAGTTTAGGGATGGATTCTGCAGAGACCTACCCTAAATGCCTTCTGTGCCTTCTCCCTCCCAAATCCATTCCGCCCACCTCTTCTGAGCCCAGGGCTCACTAACAGCCAGGGCAGGTGACGTTTGGACTTGGACTACTGGGCAGGCTAGCAGGGGTTGGGAAAAGAGGCTGAGGAGCTCTAGGGCCAAGGCAGGATAGCTTTGGATCCTGGGAAGAGCTTATCTTACAGAGAATCATAAATTCCCATCTGCCCATCCCTCCTACTGCACAGGAAGAACTCCCTACCCCCTAATAAGCCCAGAAGGTGCAGAACAGATGGGCCGAGGGCTGAGAGAGCAAAAGGAGACTGGGGAACAAGTAGACTGCCTGTCCTCATCCCTGCTCCAACACTGATGAGATGAATCAAAGTCATACCTAAGCTGAAATGAGCCCAGTATGTACAATGACACATCCAAGGCAGGCCTGTGGACAGAACTCGTTGGAGGCATCCACTTCAGCAGAACATAAAAGAGCACTTAAGAAGATCATCAAAGAATATTTGTGAAGATTGCTGTATACCACACATGTACAAAATTCCTGCCTCAAAATATGATTACATGTACAAAATTCTTATCTAAAAATATGAAGTATAGGTGGTCAATACATCAAACAAATAGTGTTAGGAAAGTTCAATTAGAAAAACAATTTCAAAGTATAAAAAATCCCTACCTAGAAAGATGGAAATCATGAAAAAGAAAGGAGATTTGAAGAACAGAAGCAGGCCATACACGATGTGAATATCCAAAGTCTCAGACAGAGGAAAAGGAACAGACGGAGAAAAGAAAATCATGAAACGAACAGAAGAAGCACGTTTGGGAGAGGAAGGCGTATCCTGAATCTCAGGAGATCGATGAGAAAAGACAAAGGTCTGGCCATTCTGAAAAGTGCCAGATCTCCAAGGGGAACGAAAACATTCTGGAACCTCCTAGGCAGAAAGAAAACGTGACAGAAAAAAAGAAGACGACGAAGAAGTAAGAGGAAGAAGGAAGAAGGAGAAGGAGAAGAAGTGCAAAGGGAAAGAAGGGAAGGAGAAGGCAAGAGGAGGGGGAGGCAGAGGAGAAACCTGGCTTCGGTCTCCTCATCTGCAACACTAGAAACCGAAGGATAGTGGAATAACTCCTACAGATTACTGAGACAGTGCCTTCGCCCCAAGAACCCTACACCCCTCAATTCTCAGGGTAAAAGAATGGTCTCTAAGAAGTGCAAGAGTTCAGAGAACATTTCACCCCAATATCACATTTGAGGAAAATACAAAGGAACTCTATCTAAACAGAAAATGCATCAGAACAGAGACTTCAGCTTGGCCAAAGGGGAAGACAACCAGCAACCAGTGTTGATAGATTGATTAGATGGATGATGATAGATAGATAGATAGATAGATAGATAGATAGATAGATAGATAGATGATAGAAAGATGTGGATAGATACTCTATATGTACTCTATTATATATATCTATATTATATAGATACATATATGCATATAACTGTATCTATATATCTATCATCTATCTACAATTGCCAGAATGTCAGGGTAGGTGAGAAAAAAAAAAAAAAGAAAGAAGAAAAGGAAGAGAGAAAGGAAGAGAGAGAGAGAGAGAGAGAGAGAGAGAGAAGGAAGGAAAGAGAGAGAGGAGAGGGAGAAGGAAAGGGGGAGAGAGAGAGAGAGAAAGAGAGGGGGAGAGAGAGAAAGGGCGAAAGGAAGGAAGGAGAAAAAAGGATGAGAGAGAAAACCAGGTGTGTGATGTTTACAAGAAAAACACTTAATACACGTGATAAATAAAAGGATGACTGATGGATGACTACACAAACAAACGCAGACAAAAACAAAGTAGGAATGATGAGATTAATATTAGACTGGTAGAAGTTAATGTTGATGAGGTAAAAACAGGCATTATGCAGTAAGGATAAACAGCACAATCTATGAAAAAGGTACATCGATCATAAAACTTTATGCATCCAACAGCACAGCACTTCAGCAAAAATTATGACAGATGTGGAGAAAATTTGAAAAAAACTATAGTGGGACACTTCGATAGATCGCTTTTATTTTTTCCACGACAGAATTTTATTGATGAAAATGCAAAGGAAAACTATAAAGTCAAGTGGCTGATCCTGAATAACGACAAGGCCAAGATGAAAAGAACCTAAATACACTGAGATATGTTGATGTTTTCCAACTGCTTTGTAAAATAAGATAAAATTATTTAACATTGATGTTATGATACACTGACATCTATAGCCCCTCATGTGTGCCTGAAATGAATAATTGTCATGTGATTGATCATTAAACATGTGTTATTTAAAACAAAATGTTTTTTAAAAGAATTTTATTAAGATATAGCTGACGTAAAATACTGTATTAGTTTCAGGTATACATGATAGTTATTCTATTGGCCATCTGTATGTTCAATGTCTGTTCAGGTCCTCTGCCCATTATTTAATTGGATTGTTGGTTTTTTGGTGTTAAGTTGTGTGAGTTCTTTATAAATTTTGGATATTAACCTCTTATCAGATGTATTATTGGTGAATATCTTCTCCCACTCAGTAGGTTGTCTTTCCATTGTATTGAAGATTTCCTTTACTGTGCAAAAAATTTTTAGTTTGATGCAGCCCCATTTGTTTAGGTTTTTTTTTCTCTCTCTCTTTTGCTTCCCTTGACCAAAAAGATATATCAGAAAAAGCATCACTAAGAACAATGCCAGAGAGTTTACTGCCTCTGTTTTCTCCTAGGAGTTTTATGGTTTCAAGTCTTACATTTAAGTCTTTAATCCATTTTGACTTTATTTTTGTATATGGCATAAGAAAGTGGTCTTCATCCATTTTTTTTGTATGTATCTGTAGAGTTTCTCCAACACCATTTATTAAAAAGACTGTCTTCAGCCCATTGTATATTTTTCCGCCTTCGTCATAGATTAATTAACCATATAGCATTGGTTTATTTCTAGGTTCTCTATTCTGTTCTACTGATCTATATATATGTGTGTGTGTATATATATATATATTCTGTTCTACTGATCTATATATCTATAGATCTATATATATAATATAGA